CAAATCTATGATCATCATCATCGTCCATTTACTGGAAAGTCGCGGAAAAAATTGATTTTGGAGAGACGTTGACTCGTCTTGATTGCCAGGACCGCGACAGACTGGAGGGTCGGACACACCAATTTGGCTGAAATAATACTGCTTGGCTGTGGCCGGCGGTGGATCTGATGCTGGTTACTTAAAACAAGCACAATAACGGGATCATTTAATGACAAAGTAAACGTCAACCGCTATAAAAAGGCATTACCAACCACTACAATGAGTAGATAATGCACTCCTATCATATAACATCAAGGCCTCTCGGCTAATAAATGAATCTCCTAGGACAGTTGCATCTGTGATAAAAGAGTAGCTATACGAATTAGTATACATTCCGCGCCCGAACAGCACTGCTGATCCAGTTAGACCAGGGATTATGGCAGCTTTCGAGTAAAGTGCGAGTTGCTGAAAGGGGCATTGTGCCCTTCGAAAGACAGCAGAAAATGAGCGTGGTTATGGTGCAAATGCGCATTCGATTTCTTCGCCGTTGCTTGTGACGGTATAACTGTCGTTCGCATGCATCCGCGACAGTACTTTTATTTTCATAAAATTACCATGTTTTACGACGCGGCTTTTATATTCTGCTTGTTTTTATCAAATTGTTTACTGCAAGTTTTATCGAAGTATCCACAAATCATCCGAATAAGACCGTATACACCAAGTGCTTTTTCACTCTTCCAAATCCTGACCTTTATCGGCCTTCTCAGTTTAAAGTGAAAGTATACTTGCTCACCAGAGTCTACTCTCAAATGGCTGCTTTTTGACTCCATGAAAATTCTTATTTTCCCCATATCTTCGATTTTGAGGGTGCTGCTTATCTTCGTTCTGTCAGGTTTTAATTTCCGGATGTCCTCTATTACAATCAGTGCTGATGTTTTGATAATTTGTTTTACGACTCTTTCAAAATGTTCTTTTTAACTACAGCTACAGTTATAGTTTTTGGTTGATAACTTCGCGGTTTTATTTCGCTGACTCTTGCTTTTAAAGTAACAAGACGATGCTTATCTGATCCACCTGTGCATACTTCAAAAGTAGGCAATAATTACCAATCGGATACCAATGCTCTCCATCTTACTTATACTAGAACTGATTCGGTCGACAGCTCAAGCTCTACACCCTTCCCCGCCACTTTTATAAACCTAGAACTTTACCCATGATGGTTTTCTTCTCAATTCTATTTCTCCAGACTTCTCAGACTGCTTTTTCTCGCGTTGATGGATGAATCACCGGTTGTCCGGTCAGCCATTGGGTCGGCCATCGCCTGTCTCCATGTAGACCGCACTGCACCGTATCCCCTCTGCCCCATCGTTGCAATGCACACCCTTCTCTACCAGCTGTTGCCCACCATGTTATCAGACGGATCGAACCAGTCCGTTGCAGCTGCAGTGACTTGGACTTGTGACCTCTGGCTCTCGCTTCTCGAAGGGTTGAAGCTCAGGCTGGCTAATGAGAGGAAACTGCGCTCTCTGTGAGTTGACGTTCCTGTGCGTAAAAGTCCATCATCCTCTCTCTTCCTGCGGACGGGCGAAATTGGCCGTGATTGTAAATGTGCCAATCGCCGCGTCCAGTCCCATCTCAAGTCGATTTAACTCGGACATGGTGCGACAGGGGGGAGATAATCACAGAACCAACACGTACTCATAATAAACCATTTGACATTATCTGCACTACCACCAATCAATGATGGTGACTTAGGGCACCTCTCACGCGATGGGCGGCGGCTTTATACGATGTTAGCCACTGCGCCAAATCTCAGCCCAGGTCGGTTTCCCTCGGACCAACCAGTGGTGTACGAGAGAGGATACGGGGAGAGACGTCGATCCACCTGGGGTCCAGCATCTAACTCTTCATCACAAACACCCAAATACCCTTTTAGACTGCCGCGACGTGCTACCAGCCATGGCTGGGAAAGTTGCCAACTGACTGTATAACTGGGGCCCCCTTAGAACTGTGGATCTGGCTACAATTGCATCTTCATTATTTAGCCTTCATGGCATTCTCACCTTCGCTGAATCCGAGATTAATGGGACCTGGTACATGTAACGTCATAGGCCGGATCGTGTGTACATGCGCAGACGGGCAATTGTTTTTCTGTCAGCCACTGTGCCCGAGCCCACCTCCAGTCGTTTTTACTCAGTCTTGCCATCGGATCCTGGTTGGGGCAAGAAGAGAGAGTGGCATAGGTGCAGCCTCTTCATAAACGAATCCTCGCGCGAATCGCACCTGTGTCGTTGACTCATTGATTGTCGTCGTCGTTCCCAACAGACGAATCTTATAAGCCGTATTTTCCTGATCGTTACCTCTTCTTGTCGCGTTTAGCTTATGCATTTCTTCATTTAGGATCTTTCTTTATGAACCAGACGAGCCTAACCCTCTCTTGGATCATCAACTCGTTTTCTCTCTACTGGCATCAACTCTCGACCACCATCTCTCCTCCTCAGCAGTAAGTCACCTGATTTTTTTGATTTTAACACCCATCGATTCGGAAAATAGGCTCTGCTTCATAGCTTGTAGTTTAATTCTAAGCAGCAGCAATTATTTTCTTAAACGTGACCTGCCTCCGAGAACGTTTTTGTCACTAAAACGTTCTACTTATCGTCTGCCAGTAGTTACGCTTTAGAGGTTTGGAACAGTCACTTCCATTTTAGTTGCCGTCGGCTCTGGGCCATACTTCCGCCCCAGACTGATAATACCTGTCCGACGGGTCATTGAGCCGAATCCCCTTTATTGAACCACGTACCCATGTTCCATTGACAGCAGTAGTTGTACGCACTCGCTCCATCTGAACATCTGTCGCATGGTTGTTGAAATATACGACGGCCATACCCTTTACTGTCAATGGACCTTATCTCAGTTTAATCAGGTAATGAGTGCTAGAACTGGACTTGCATAAATTCATTACAAGACTAAATTGTTGTCTCTTTACGTTTCCTTTGAATTGCTGACCTCTTCCCCGCATAATATGTGTTGTCCTGAAAACTTTGCAATGCTAATTGAGGTTTACGAGCTTTTTAAGCCAATGTTTCGCCGTCTTTACAGCCGCCGTAAGGAGCTCATTTTGTCGGCTTCCTGTGTTCTGATTGGCAACTTGGTCGCTTCTTGATTTTATCCACTACTACTGCTGCTACTATTACTGCTGCTGCTGCCGCTGCTGTTTCTATTACCGCCACTTCTTGGCTTTGTCTCTCCCGCAAACTTCCATAGAAATTACTGCTAATTAGTATTGTCCACTAATTAATGAACCCTGCCTTCCCTTTTATTTAGCGTAGGACTTTCTTGACTATACTGTCCGTATGTTCGTTCCTCCTCTGCAAACTATGTGTGGTGGTTTGTGTGTTCTCCCTGTCCCACCGCAAGTTGCCACTATCGTTGCTGCCTGGGCTACTGAGATGTAGCCCAAATTTCAAACACTGCCCCTCTCGCTTTACTCCTTTTTAGACCGTTTTCCCCACCGCAGCGATCAATCGGTTGCTCGCAGTCGTCCTGACGGATACTCAATCGCCGTCCACCGGGTCCCCTAGTCTGACCACCATTGCTACAGACGCGCGGTCCTCCACTCTCTTTTATTTAGCCTTTTCGGAACGTCTGATCACGGCCACTTTCTCTCAGAAGCAGCTCCCTAGTGCCACCATCAACGCCGTCACCAACCCAACGTGATTCACGCCTGCGCAGAGTTTATATTCACAATCATTGGCTCTTCTGTACAGTTTCTCATGAGTTTTATTCGCATGTCTTTCGTTGTCGTTGTCTTCGTTGTTCTATTCCTCTTCTCGGAAGCTCTGGTGCGTGTTGTTTCTCGCCTGAACCAGGTCACTTGATGATGAATCCCACCTAGGTAGGGTATGTTGGTATGCATAAGGTGGACGGTAAACGATCGGCGGCTTTTGCACAAACTAATTACTAAGGCGGTATATTCTCCTGCTTCTGGTAGCCCTCCACAGCAGCTCCTACATACATGTAATTTATTCCTTTAAAAAGCCCTTCCTTCAGCTGTCCATTACCTGCTCATGCGGGTAAGGCCATCATTTTGCTGATTTCAGGATGACTTTTAGCTGTCCTCATTCAGTAGGTAAAAAGGGTGCGAATGCAACAATGGCGACCGGTTTCTTGGTTCCAATAGGCTATTCTTGACTAACATCAGGTCCCCCCTTCCAAAAGTCATCTGGCCTGGCATTTAAGCAGCCGGAAGGCCGCATCACAGACTGCATTTTGGAAAACTTCAGCTTTGAATCGCCGAGGCGGGAGGCAAGCATACCTCGTGTCAGGGGTGTTCCTGACAGTTGGACTGCGCCTCCATCTCAAAGAGTTCCCCAAAGTAAGTCCGCTTCCAAAGCCAGCTGTTCGTAAAGTTCTACTGTAAAACAGTCAGCCACGTCCCTTCGAACGCCGCTAACCGTTCTGATTTGCTGGGAAATAGCGATGCTCCATCTACAGGAGTAGGGCTGCGTGGGACCTGTTCAGGTACACCAGGACTTCAGCATCAGCATGTGTAAAGACGAGTAGCCTTTACGCCAGCGAACACACGGTACTCCACTCTGCCAATTACATAAGTTCCATCCGGTAGTCCAGATGGGAAATAGGTAGGTGTCTACGTCTGACAGCCATCGGTCAAAACTGCCAAGGCAGACCAATTGTCATACAACATGCGGCAAAGCCCTACGACCACGCTGACGTGGTGACCGCGGACTACCACTGAATAAACTAGCCTACCTGCGGATTGGCTCCTGTGCTGTTCGCAAACATGGCCCGGACGGCTGAGACAATTCAATCGCCCAAGAGGAGGTGTTGTCCGCGATATCGCTGAGGCCGGATTTATCAACGCCGCGTTAGTCGCGTATCCTCATTAGGACCCAACTGGCTTGTTTTTGCCAATTCAAGCCCTAATCGCTCTAGGCCCAGTGAATCTGAAAATGGTGAATGGTTCCCTTTCCTATATCTGCATCTCGAAGGCGGGTCATTTGGATTTATATACTCGCTGGCTCGTGCAGATACATGCATATCGCTCTCAAAATCTACGTAAACGACCATGAAGCGTGTCTGTTCTTCACTCATCCTCTGCGGACTTCGATTTGAGGCAGAAATGAAATGTGTAATTAGCATTATCGTTTTAGTTATGTCACTACTATCGGCACTAAACCGGGAGACGTGGCGACAGGTACAGGCCTCTCAAAACTTCAAAAACGCCATCATCGCCCATCTCTACAAGCGCAAGGGGAGCCGACGCCTCTGTGATAACCACAGAGGCGTCTCGCTATTCGACATCGCAGGGGATGTCTTCGTCTCAACGGCCATCTCGAGCAGGGACTACTGCCGGTAGGCCAATGTTGCTTCCGAAGACACCGCGAAACCACCGCAGTGGTCTTTGCTGCTCGCCAGCTACAATAGATGCGGACTCCTACGCCACCTTCGTGGATCTGGCGAAAGCCGTCAACACGGCGAGTCTCAAGTGTTAGGAAAAAAATCATGCGGAAATTCGACTATCCTGGACGATTCACGCACATGGTTTATCAGTTTCGCGACAGTATGATGGCACCTGTCACGGACAACAGCACGATCTTGCAGGCATTCACAGTGGCCAATGGAGTGAAGTAAGGCTACGTGCTCGCTCCCACCCTCTTCAGTCCCGTTCTCTGCCATGGTGATGGGCGCCTACCGCGATGAGTGTCCCAGGGTACGCATCGCCTACAGGACTGACGGCATCTCAACAGCAGGTGCATGAAGGCCATACTGCGACCATATACGACTACAGTCGACGACCTACTCCTCGCCGACGACTGCGCGCTCAATGCTACGACCGAATTAGACGTGTAACGGAGCATGCATCTTTTCGCCGCCGGATGTGCCAACTTCGGCCTGACAATCAGTTGGGACAAAACGATGATCATGCACCAATCGTCACCGAGCGCTTAATACCAATCTCCTTTGGTCACTGTCAACGGCAACCAACTCCAAACCGTGCGGGCAGGGTTTTCATTGGAAGAGGGTAACTTGAGCGTGCCGCTATTACCCTCAGCAGCATAGCTTGTTTGTGTGCGGGATTTTTCACAGGAGGCCTCTCTTGTGGGTTCCTCTGAGGTCAAGTTGACTGGTTCTTCCATTCTGAAACTGTTCTCTACCTCCTTCATGACCCGAAGAACATCTAGAGTATCCTCATCGCTCGACCTTTCCCCCAGATCATGCTCCCAACTCCATAGGATACTCGAATCGAATAAGGTGGAGTCATCACCGAAGTTATCGTAAATCCCGCGTGCTACGGATCCGGCTACCTGGTGTTTCTCATCTCGATCACTTTCCTTTTCTCCTTCCTTATTCCCGAACTTCTCATATTCCAAACAAACTCTTTTATGCGCTCTACTGGGGCTACCACAGCCTCCTTGCCTTGCACACTTTCGAGTACGACTCCCCTTTATAAGGCTATCTTGGAATTCCACATCTTTTAATTGTGTTAGGTAGTCTAGACGGTCCTTTTGCAGCAAGGGTGAAGTAATCTCACTGAATGTGTCTCCACTATGTGGAGTTGCAATTGAGGTCAGAAATCTCGTTCTCTTATCCTTCTTTGACTCAGACCCCCTCCCATCTGTTTCGGTAGATGTGGCCATTTGATTTTCACTGTTGCAACCGTCTTGTTGCAAGTGACTAAGCTGTAGACGCCTGGGAGACGGAAGCAATCTCGTTTGCTCAGTCGGTGGCGGTGGTGGTGATGACATCACAGGGCGGGAGGGGCGGTCAATGAGAACCGGCGAACACAAACACTGGAGATCAGTCTTAACAACCTCCCCACGTGCCAGCTTCCTACTGGACTCTAAACGACTACGACTGCATGCGACGGGAAGTGGAACGTACTTTGTCTCCCCTGTAGTCTGGAAGGTGACACGTGGATGGACTCTGGAGGTTTCTTGGCCCTCGGTTACACCCGATGCACCTATGACCACCGGAGTGACGCTTAGTTGAATGGACGAACTGTAGAACGACGGAGCTTCCGCGTTCGGCTCGGCTCCAGGTATTTGGGTTCTTTGCCTCATCAGCGCGGTTGGCGCCCTTGGGGTAGACGGATGAAGGCTGAACCGAGCTCTTCGGGTTACGCCAGATTTCGTCCGCTCAACTGAGGCCGATGGAGAAACAATCAACGAGGGTCTCTCGATTGTTCCATGTGGAGGGTTGGAAGAATTTGATGAGCTCTGATTATTTGCTGTTTGGAGCTTACTTACTTCCCTCTTCTTCCGCGACGGTCTCCTTTCCTTGTGAACGTATTTATAAGCGAGGTTTTGCCTATCCGCCACACTCTTGGCCACGATGGGATTCGGTTGCGCTCGTGATCTCCTGTCTCCTGTCTTTGTACTATCAAAGTCTTGGACATCTGGCTTCTCAGTGGAAGATCCCCTCTCTCCAGTTGACGACGACGATGCTGCCGCTGGTTTAGTTGCGTCGACAAAAACGCGTGTACGTCCGTGATGGTAGCTGTTACTGGTCGTGTGAAGGTAGGAAGCTACTGGTGTACGGATGGATCGCCAGGAGTAAAGTGCTTGCTCTGGAACCACCTCAGTCCGGGATCCGTTAGACGTCCTCTTGAAAGTGTCCCTGAAAAAGGAAACCAGTTTGTGACCTATCGAGGGGGACTTGTTGATAGGATGAACTTGATTAGATGACACGACATAAGTAGGGCAATTTGGTTCTGATTGAATGTGACAACTGCTATCCCTGCAGGGTTCCCTTTCATCGCACAGTATAGTTTGAAATAAGCCCTCGAAACTTCTTGGACGGTTCTCTCGCTCTAAAGCCATGCTGAAAGCCTCATTCGTCAACTATAGACGATGAAAAAGGCGTACAAATAGAGGGATATTGTGCCTAATTGGACAAAGCGCGGATTCGCGCTCCGTCGTCGAGTTAGAAATAGCGGAATCAGACTTGGCGGCATCGTGACGGATCGATAACTGTGCATGGCATGAACACGTGCATTCAAAAGCATGAAACTAGGACACCTAGTTCAAAGTGCTCGGACAGATGGGAGATATTAATAAATTCTGCATGAAGTATACGCATGAACAAGTAATTGAGAATCAGCCAAGTTAGAAATGCAGTCTCGCTCCCGAAAAATGTGATTTCTTAATGCGCACTCCGACAATCTCCAGCCTACAGCCTGCTAAACGATCAAGTACGACCCGCGTGCTGGCACACGTGCATGCAGCCTCTGAAAGTCATGACTTTCCAGTTGGACTGATTAATTGCAGAGCACGACAGGTACCGTTAATTAAAGGTACTCTGCTAAGACACGGAAACAGGAACACCCAGGCCTTGCACTAAATTCCAGGAAGGACAAATATTCCTGGGTCCTAACCATAGCCCCCGACATAAAGCTAACTCTAACTCTTAATCCTGAGCTAAATCCCCCTGGACCTTAGCGCAAGGCTCCCGAATAGGGAAGGGTGGGAGTTCTATGTCCCTGCCTTGCCGGTATAAACAGCACTGAGAATTCACCCTATTGAGGTTGACACCAATGTGTCGAGGAGTGAAATGACTTGTAGAATAAGTAAAGAACTTGATGACTTCCTGTCAGCTTCTTGTAAGGATGTTGATGTTGGATTACGTGGAAAGGTAGGATCGACAGATTTAGTCAGAAAGTGCACCCCGAGATGCCTGTTTCAATAGCCTAATGTACT